CTAACAAGTAGTTTGAGTATCCAAGTGAATACTCCATAAATAGTGAGAATGATAGACCCTCACTACAGCTAACATTTTTTCCTCCATATTATAGCCAACATTTTTTTTTAAATATTTATTTTTAGGTGTAGATAGACACAACACAATGCCTTTATTTTTATGTGGTGCTAAGGATCGAACCCAGGTCCCGCCCATGCTAGGCGAGCGCTCTACTACGGAGCCACAATCCCAGCCCTATAGCCAACATTTTAATAACTGCTTTTTGAATACTCGCTGGATGTCAGGCACTATACCATGCAAGTTCATGCCCAAGAACACAGACTCTCAATTTGGACCGACAAGAGAGAGAAACCCAGCTTTATCCTTACTGTTGATGTCAACAAGCAAATAGCAAATCCTCACTAACTCCTATGTTCCCCATCTGTAAATGAGGGACGATACCAATGTCTGTCTTATAGAGGTATGAGAAAAATTAAACAGAATAATGCACTCACGTAACTGTGTCTGGCCTGTAGAAAGGTTTCAATAATAACAGTCATTATTTTTATTGTCCAGGGCACTTGTGAGTGTGACCTCATGCAATACTTAGGAAAAAAAATCTCTAAGAAGTGGGGAATATTATTCTAGTTTTGTAAATGATGGAGGTGATTCAGCCAAATACATAAAGCTAACAACAGAGACATTGTCCAACCTTGGAGTTGGCTTCTAAGCTATAAATCCTCTTAATATAACCATGGATTTCATACCAAGGGGAGTCTTTGCAATTCACACATGAAAGTTTTTAATGTAAGTTAGCAACAGAGAAGAGAAATGGGGGTCTACCACGCAGCTTAAGGACAGAGGTTAGCCTTTGCTGAATGAAAGAATGGTTTGACCATTTAACCTTTGTGTGATCAAGGTCATACAGCTAATCATTTTATTAACATTTCAGGTTTTTCATCTAAGGAAGAGTATCCGCCTTAAGGTCTGTTGTAAGGATTAAATGTGATAATGCATGTAAAACAAAAGTTGGAACACTGCCTAGCATGTAGTAAATAGGCAAAATAAATGTCAGGTATTAGGACTGTTTCTCTACATCAGACAGCAATACAGCAGCAAAATTAAGACTGTACCTTAAGTCTTCTTACTCCTAGATTGGAGTCCTTTAGAAGTAATATTAATAGCCATATTTGTGGTACACTCACTGTTCCTGCATTCCTACGCCCGAGGACTGATTCTAGTGTTCCAACAAACAAGGGCTGGACACTGGTCCCAAAACCCAAACAAAAGGTAGCAGTAACAAGCAGAAAAGGGAATTTAAAAAGCTTCATCATGGAAGACAGATTCCAGGGTTTCAAAAAAAAAAAAAAAAAAAAAAACCAACATACCCACTACTTCCCAGTATATCTACACTGAATATATTTTCTTTCCTGTTTTGTTGTTGTTGTTTGTTTGTTTGTTTGTTTGTTTTGCTTTTTTCTGTTTGGATTTGGAGTGGCTGGACCTGGTTGGTTGGAACCCTTGGAATCAGGCCTCATGCTAGGACTTCAGTAACAACTACGTGCGCTGATGGATACTAGTTACTATTTATTCTATAGTTTACTAGTTACTATATATTCTACTCATTCCAATAAGGTTGTGAGATTGGTATGATTAATCTTGTTTGCAGATCTGGGAACTCAGAGATGTTAAGGAACTCACTCAAAAAACAACCAACAGGAAGCAGATAATAAGAGAAGCTGGGTTCCGAGCCAGCTCAGCTAAATTCCAAACCTTTGCTTTCTTCCCTACATCCTGCTTCCTGAACAGCTGAGGAGGAAATGCAACTGCTCAGAGTAGCTGGGCTGGGGAATCTGGGGGATGACAGTCTACCCTCTTCTTTTGGCCTAGATTCACTGAGCACCTTCTTGCATCACCCTTTGGGATGTTAATAGTCAGGTGATACAACCCTCCCGGACAGGGAGATACTCAATTCAGGACTTAATAAGCCTAAGGAGCATGCTGGTTCCACTTAGGCACGCATGGATTATAGCATGTTGTAGTGGCAGAGTGGGATCTGATTTCCCTGCATGGGCAGAGAGAATGTTTGTGCTGAGAAAAGGAGACAGAGCTCATAGACCTGAGAAGCCAGACTCCTTTAAGATATGATAAGATATTTGGGTCTTCTCATGTACTAATTCCAATATTAACCAAAAATGAAAAATAATGGCTCATCCAACAGCCACCTAACATGAGTTTGGCATCATAAAAGCTTGGCCCCAGAACCGCATTTTTGCTAGCCACATACTCATAGAGAGTCAACGATCTGCCGAGTCTCAGATATCTCTCCTGTGAAACTGGAAGATGTATTTCTCTTCTGTGAAAGGAGAAGACATAGTCTGCCATCTTGAATGCCATTTTCAATGGTTACTGGGGGAGGAAAAAGCAAACACTCTATTCTCTCTGAATTGTTTATGGCCAGACCTACAAGGTCAGAGTCCAAGCCACAAGGAGTCCCGGTGATTTCTTAATCCCTGCTAACTGACTGAGGAACTGCAGAAAAGTCCTTAACTGTACTGGACCTTAGTTTGGCCTTCTGTAAAATGGAAGAGTATAATAAATCAGAAAATATCAAACTTTTCACCTGAAATGCCCCTAATAATAGAAGCAAATGTTCTCACATGCTAACCTTCTCTGATTCAAGGGCTTGATATACACCCTAGGAGTTAATACAACCCTCAACTTACAGATGACAGAAACAATGGACAATACTTAGCTCAACATGATCCAGAGAGGAGAGTGGCAGATTAGCACTTCCTGCTAAGGCTCACAAACTCCAGAGTCTGCAATAATAACCATCCATTTCTCTACCTCTACAGGGTGGGAAGCATTCTCAGAGGCTGGTCCTACCTCTGAGCAGCTGGTCTTCATCCACATACCTGCTTCAATAGACCTTTGGATTCAGTGTGTCCTGGACGTGACTATCCCTAGTGGGGGCAGAAGAGAGCCAGAGCATGGATCCCTAAATGATGGAAAGGACCAAGGGATTATAGCCTGGGGCTGGGGACGGTCTGGTATATACCTACTTCCATATTCCCTATTCTGCCAGTCAAATCCTGGATTACAGGGAATTTTGATGGCATCTAGGTCATAGTGCATTATCCTTTTCAAGCTGAACTCACTGAATACTATTCTGGGAAGACAATCTGACCTAGTGAAACTAAAGCCCTAAAGGCAGAAAATGGACATTCATGACTCATTTATAATTGAGATAATATGATATAAGCTACTGGGTTATGAGAAGAATGTATGTAAGCAAATGCTGTGCCAAAAACCAGAAAATGTCTAATAAATATCAATCAAAACTGCATCTCACTGTCAAAAGAAGAAGAGTAGCCACAATCCTCAACCTTCCTCAACATCAGTTAGTGTCCCGTGCTCCCTAAGGAACTCAGCAAATACCCTGAGATGGTGTTTACAAATTTGCACCCCAAAGTTAGCATACAGGCACCCACTTGTCTTGGCATGTGGCTGCATCATTTGCTAAATATATATGTGGAAAAGTCTATCACACTCATTCCATGAATAACACAAAGGCCTTGATTTGTTCTTCCACGTGATAAGCATGCGTTAGGTCCAAAATTAACGTTGCTATCTGGCTGGGGTATGTGTATGTTTTTCCAAAAAGAGAAAATTTCCAAGTTCTACTTCAGTCCTAATCAGAATGCTTAATGAACTGTGTTGGTTAAAAAGAAACAAGTAAAAGAGACCAAAACTAAAAGTCTGAACCATGGTACAGTCTCAATAAATACAGACTCTTGAGTGCAAGGAAGAATTGAAGGGGTGGGAGACGGTACTTAGGCCAATCACTTCATCCCTGTGAGCTGCAAATTCTCAGACACAGGTTGGGGATACTATTGTTCTACCCTCATGTCCCTGGTGAAGCCATGCTAAAGGAGAAATGGAGAAAATAATGCAAGAGTGGCTTTGAGGATTATAACATGAGGGGGACGGCAGGTATTGCCATCGTTAGATCTTATCCTGAGCTCTTAAGACCTTGTGCTTTCTGCAAATTGTAATTATTTGCTTATTTTCTATGTACTACACAAGCCATTAATTACAGCTTTCTTTTAAAGAAGCCAGTAATACATATCTTTCAGACTACCACTTAGTGATTCCACCCCAATAGCCTTTTGAATGAGCCAACAGAAGCAGAGCTTTCTGCACCCATAACTTCATTTATACTGTGGAGGTGACAGGCCAGGCATCATGCGTTTTTGGCCAAAGTATAATGAGATCATTGTGCCCCTAAATGGGCTCCATAAATGTGCCCCCTTATAGTACTTGACATGTGGTAAACACTAAAGAAATTCTTGAGTGAAACCAGGGTGAGTGGGGACATCAGATTTTGTAGCCAGAGTCAAGTGGGTTTGAATGCTCAAGAGCAACTGACTCCCTCTCTCCCTCACTATGTCACCTTGGGTAAGTCTCCTTCCCCTCTGCTGCCATATGCACAACTGTATCATGAGGCTAATGGAGAGGCCTCTAAAGAGGGCTGCATTGGCTACAGACAACCCATCTCCAGGAGCCACTGTGTAGTTGTGAAGTTTAAAGCCCCTGACACCTCAGGGCACTTGGGAACCACAGCCTGTTCTGATTTTATTCCAATTTTGTTTGTTCAGTCTTTCTTGGAAAGGCCAACTGCATTTTGGAGCACTGAACCTCAGCCCTCAGCAAAGCAGGCCAAGCACGTGACAGATGTTAAACAGCTATTTGCAGAGATGTCAGCCAAAAGGCCAAGGAGTTGGTGACCCTTTATTTTCTTCTCTGAAGCACAGTTAGTTTGTCACAGCTGACAGATGACGGATGGGGATGCATCATTCCAGGTGATGCCACAGAATCCATCTGCCCTGCTGTTTATCAGCCTAACCTCTTGCACTTGGCCGGTTCTTTCCCTCCATCTGCTGACACTTTCCTGCCTCCCTGCGACTCTTCTCTTTTCTGTCCCTTCCCCACCCCCCATCACATCCCCGCTCACTCACCATGACGGAAATATGGAGGATGTGCATCTGCTCCTCGACAATCTCCGAGGGTTCCTGGAGCGTGGGGGCAGTGGCCTGGGCCAGCTGCCCAGAGCTGCTCATGGAGACGTGGAAGTACAAGGTGCCATTCTCCAGCCACTGCTGTCTCCAGTGCACCAGCGAGATGTCCGCGGCCGTACCAGACATCTCTGCAAGACAAGACCCAAGGCATAGGGTGAGCTGCACGTCTGACTTTGGTGCTGTTGGGGTAGGGGTTCATGGGGGAGAAGCCAAACATAGTCAGGAGCTCAGGACCCACTGACTTATGCCTTTCCTTACATTGAATCTGTGAGCCAGGGATCATCACTTCTGTTTATAGATGGCAAAACAGTGGCCAAGTTCTATCTGTTCCAAGTAAGAGAGAGGAATTTGGACCCGTATGTCTGTTGCAATATTTTTTTTTTGGACACCATGAATGAAAAGGTAATTCTTTTTATTTCAAAGTACAATGAAACTATACAAAAGTGTGAAAGTGCCCCATTCTTCTGAGGCTATACAGCTGGGAGGAAATGCAGGAGATCTGAGGAATAGAGTTGACATGTAAATTCTTGACAAGCTGAGCTAGAGGTTTCATGGAAGAAGCTTAGAGCTGGAAAGACCCAAGAGAGCAGCCAGCTCTCGGGGTCATCCTGCTTAGAAAGGAGCTTGGCCAGTGAGTTGTTCTGAGCCTGTTTCTTCTGCACTGATGAAAGTGGCTCCATTTTCTTAGTGTATACACTGCACTCCCAAGCAAGGGAGTGTTGGCACAAAAGGTTCCGTGTCTTAAAAACACTTGAAAAGCCATACACCAAGGTCTGATAAATACAAGTTAGAACTTTCTAATAGATTGTTAAATCAGGTCTCCTGACATGAAATCCTAACTCTTATCTCTATACTGTTCTCCCCCTCTGTAAATTTTTTTTAATTGTCATTTGAATAGTATTGATTAGTATTCTGTTATGCCAACGTCAGTCTCTTATTAGGGAAGAAGGGGAATGGCACAAGCACCAACAAAGCCATTGCACTGGGATCATGTGACCTTGTTCCAGTGCCTTCTACTAAAGGCATGCATCCATGGAAGTGTCCCAGAAGGGCAGGCCTATCTGTGCATCTTGTGAATAAAGTGGAAGGGTGGTGGGGCTCTTGGAGAAATGCCAGGTCTGTATCAAGCAAGAGTTACTCTGGGAGACAAAGAGCCTTAACAGCTTCCATCAGTAGACAAGTACACACACACACACACACACACACACACACACACTCAACGAAGACTGCTGGGCAGAACAAGTTAGAACTTTTCCTTACCTAATCATCTCATCATGTATGGTGACATTGAAATGAAAAGAATCACCTTGAAGAGATGAGGAGACGATGTCTACTCACCAAAGTCTATTGTAGTGTCTGTGTATGGTCCATTCCCAACAGACTAACTCCTTGAGGTTTGTAATAAAAGGCCCTTAGGGGAAGAATGTCTGGCACTTAATAAGTGCTAAGAAAAAGTTAGCTATGAATTTTTAAGTTAGCTATCGATTTATCATCATCATCATTATTATTAATAGGAACAGGATCTAATTCCCCCTTCCGTTACTCTGAAAAAAAAAAAAAAAAAAAACTAGAGACATTCTTGACTGCTTGCCGTCTCTCCCAAGAGGAAATCCTTCAAAATCCATCCACCCTTCTTAGCTCCTCTGCTTCAGCCACCTGGGCCAAGATGACACCCTTCCTTTCCTGAAAGGGCTTCCTATCTTGGCTCTTTCCTTCCCTGCTTGCCCCTTCTGTCTGTTCTCAACCAGAAGCCAGGGGCATCTTGCCATAGCATAAGTCATCTCGTACCACTAACCTCTCCACTCGAAATCCTCCACGGGCCTCCCATCTGACTCCAAGTGAAAGACAAAATGGCCAGAACACGGGAAGTTATCAGCCGAGAGCCCGTATACTTGGCATTCCCTTAGTGCCTGAAGGATTAAACAGGGCTGGAGATAATCACAAAAATTCATCATCTCTTAGTCCCATGAGCCTCACAAGGGCCCTGAGTTCACTGTGGTGCCCAGGTGGAGGACACCAGCTGGATCCTTCCCCAGCACCTTCTCTCCCTCCCTGGCTGAGGTGATAGGCTCCCCCATCACCCACCTGCCAGCCTCAATGCCCAAGGCATGGGCAGTACCTTCTGTGGCAGCCCACCAGCTAGGCCACAGGAAGGTGAAGACACGGCAAATGGCCTTGCTCAGCACCTCACTCATTTTTCTCAGAGTGCCACAAAGCCCAGAAGCAGAGGTCCAGGGAACCAGTGCTGACAGTTGCTATTAGAAGTAGTGGTGCCAAACTCAGTAGTTCAGGAAGGAGGGTTCAGCTGCTGGCTGGACAGGCACTGAATGTGCTAAGAGTCCCTGGATTGACACCTAAAGAAAGCCCCAAGGCAGGCTACAGCTGGCCGACAGAGCTTCCTATAGAAGGAAGCTATATATATATATATATTTCCACCAGGAAGGCTGGTGGAAATCCAAGCTCCTTTCTCCTGTGCCTGAATCCCACTGCAAAAGCAGTTTTCCATTCCCATGTTTCCATATTCAGAATAGAAAACAGAGGGTGGTGGTGTTCGTGACTGGTGCGAGGTGGATTTGTGCTCAGCTAGACCCCGTGGGTTTCCAGTCACTGCAATCTCTCCTCTGCCAGTCGTACTTGTATTGTCTCCTTTTCCTTGACTAAATTAGCCCACGAACCAAAACTAGATTGAGCTCTTTGTTTGCTACAGCGATGAGTGCACAGTCAGCAGACAGTAAACGTTAAATGATAATAACAGTGTGTGAAACACAGTAAATATTGAATCACAGAGAATGGCTCTGGACTCGCTCTATTACAAAGAAAAGAAACCATTGTTGGGGTGGGAGGGAGAAACTCAAAGAGAAAACTGATTTAGTGGAAACCAGAGGCCTTGGCCATTCATTCATTTGTTCAGGCATTCAGTTAATCATTCCATAACTGACTCAATCCCAGGCCATTTAGTAGCTCAGAGTATGGAGTTAGATGAAACTTACCCTTGCCTTCAGGGAGCTCATGGTCCTTCAGCAATAGAAATTCTACCCAGCCTGCTGTCCACACACATGTACCCTCTTCAAGTCTGGCCTATCTCCTCCTGCAGCCTCTATCACATTGCTGCACCCCTGCAGATCTTACAACTGTTCCTCAAACAGACCACTTCCCTATTGTGTCAGGGCACACAAACCTTTTGTCCAACCTTTCTGGAACCCTCCTCTCAGAACTCGCAAGCTGCTGCTTCTCAGCACTTGTCTCTCAGTCCCAATGACAACTGCTCAGAAAGTCTGTGCCTGACCATCATGGTCCTCTCCGAGCTCATCTGATCTCTGTTATACTCCTTTTATAAAAAACTGTCTACAGCACTTATCATGATTAGAGATTTATTTTATGTATTCACTTGAACATTTGTTTACTGTCTCTCCAGAAGTTCAGGGAACTTGCTTGTCTTAATTCCTTCCATTTCTAGAGCTCATTGAAAAGTGCTTAGACACATAATAAGTGCTCAATAAATAATGACTGAATTGCTATAATATATGTGCATATGTGTATATACACATACACATACTTTCACTTATCCATAATAAGGTGGTCATAAAAATAGAATACAAAGAGTTGAGTATCATCAAAGAATCAAAGAATAAGGAAAGATCTGATGAAAATTCAAGGATAGGATGGGACCCTCTTAGCTTGCAGATGAAGGACTACTCCCCAGACATAATGCATGGGCATTGCAAAGGATTGGTGTTCCTCAGAGGAGAGAAAGAGATAGAGATTGGCTGGGTATCTCAGGAGCATAAAGCTGCACACGCACCTTAGGGTGGAGCAGAAAGTTGGGCTGGAATTGTAGTCCACACACTGAAGTAAGGGCTTTGAATGCTAAATTAGAGTATGTATTTTATTCTGCGTGCAGCAGGGAACCAGTGGAGTCCACTTGATCAGAAAGCCAGTCCTGTGTCCATTAAAAACAGGTCAAAGAAATAGTAGCATGACCAAAGCCAGCTCTTGAAATTCCCTGCTGATTGATTTTCCAATTGCATTTTTCCTTTTTTCTTCCCCTAGTCCTTCCATATAAACATTTCATTGAAGTCTTCAAGTCATATTACAATCAAACTTAAAGCAAAAGGGGGACTAAACGCATTTGGTCGGGAACCAAGACGATTCCCATAAAGGCAGATTATGCTGACATGATGAATATAAAATGAAACAGCAGATATTAAAGTGGGAGAATTGGTGCGCCATGCCTTCCAGCGGTAGGCTAACTCCAGCGCTGGCCTCCCCCTCCCCCCTCCTGCGGAGCTCGGGTTTATATTGGAATCATAAAGAAACACGGGGATTGCCTTTTCACCTTTCTCTGTTCTCCCCCCATGGGCTGCAGCTCTTGAAATATTCAACAGGCTCAAATCCCCTCAACCATCCTGCAAAAGCCAAGAGAGAGGATCAGCCCTCATCAGTGATTCTGGGTAGAATGCCATCCTGCCTCGGATGCCTTTCAGCCTCCTGGAAAAGAAACGAAAACTCCCGAAGGCATGTTGTGCTTTTAATTGGCTTATTCTTCCGAATCTATGGCACTCATTGTATTTTTATTTAATTCCTGAAGGTCATTATGAAAATAAGCAGCTCTTCTGATCACCAGCCATCTTGGTAACATCTCCCCAGTGGCTAACTAACAGGCCTTCTGATTCCACGGTACCAGCTGACCCTCCAGCCAATTATTTGCAGAAACTCAGAGAGAACTAACTTTCAATGAGTTCTTAAATGGTTTTTGCCTTGAGGGGGGAAGCAGACATCACAGAAGACAGCATAGAAGAACCCACTGCCTAGGTGGAGTTGGGAAAGGTAGTGACGGTGACTTCAACCATCGTTGCCACTAGCTGTTCCAGCACTCCTGGGTGACCATCATGCAGCAGGACCTGCTGAGAAGGTATGGGACATAATCGCAGAAACATGTCCTCTTTCTGCTCTCTACAATGGTTAATTAATGCAAACCTTTGTCATTTATCTCGTGGGCTATAGCAAATGATTCTGTGCTAGTTGGGGGACTCATCTGAAAAGCAAAGAGACATTCAATAACGTCACTGAGAAGTGTTTAATGAAGGGACCACTGACAAAGGCTTGAGCACGGTTCAAGAGGACCAAT